TTGAGCTTCTGAATTTGAAACCTTCCAATATTTGGAACAATTGACATGTAAAGAGTAATAAAGAGTATCATATTTTTTTAAGTTTTGTGTCAGTATTTATTACAAGTTGACAGATGTGAGTGCCAGACAGTCAGTGCTGCTTTTGCCTTGTATTTCACTCATTCTAATTCGCAGCTGCAGACAGACACGTGACTATTCAAGGATACTGGCCAGTCTGAATGTAAAGAATATGCCATGCTCCCTACTAATTGGGGCTTTTCTTGGCAGTATAAGAAGAAATTGGGCAATTTACTTATAGCTGTTTGTGTAATTTTACGAATCTTTCATGAAGCTAAAATTTGCAGCAGTTGCTGAAGCAATATTGGCTTATTGCTTTTAACAGATGTAGAATGCTGTTCAATAAGTAACAATGCCTTACAGAAAACGAGAGCGCTTTTAATAAAAAAAAGATTTGCTTTACTTTGTAAAGTAACAGCTGCCACAGGATAATGGACTTGCCAACTGTCTCTGTGGGGGCACCCAATGTTCTGGATATATTCTATTTGTAGTTTTGTCTTTGGTGGCAGTTTTAGCTAAACTGTCTAAATAGGGTCACATATGCCCTCCAGAGTTCCTTCAGTTTACAGAAACTCTATGCTCTGAAGCTCAGAACTGCCGCTGTTCTGTGGCACTCCTTTTTTATGTATGAGTAGAATTACTGGAACTGAGAACCAGAACCAGTACCCACTTCATCCGGAACAAGTGTGCCCCAACTTGGGTCAATATATTACTTTGCAGATGGATGAAGGCAAAACAACACAGCTTTAGTTCTGATCGTATTATGTATACTTGATGAACTGTCATGTAAAACACATTTTCAGGTGAGCTTATTATTTATTAGTAGCAAAGTAGAATTCCCAGCATCACCTAGTTTGACATTTAGCTGTTATGTTTTGATACAATAAAGGCAAAAATTTTACATCATTGACATTCTGTGTATTTTACCAATAGATACAGGGTGTGGCCTTTTTTCCTTCTGAGGCTACTCTTTATTTGTGAATTGCAGGTGTGTCAATTGTCCCAACAATCCTTGGAGATTACCAGATGCAAAATCGAGATGCAGAATATGATTTCCCCTGTGTCATGCTGTGCATTCTGTTCATGATAATTTGTTGCACGTATAAAACCCTTACTCACGGTAGGATATCAGTGCAGACAGGTGAGGGAGCACCAAGAGGTAATGAAATGTTTTCCAATGGTGTAACAGTAAGCTCAGAACATCAATAACCTAACAGTTCATCATCCTAGCAAAAGAGAAATTGAAGGAGAATAGAGGAAATGTTTTTTCAGACATTTATAAGGAACTTATCCCTAATACGGAAGAATTTGTCAAGGTATTCTTTTAACAGCACTGAAGGGAGAAGTCAGCCACTCAGAACTGAATGAGAAACAAGTAGTCAGAGGAACAACCTCTGAAAGGCCTTCAAAAGTGAGGAAGGATGAGAAGGGGGTGATGTAAGCAAAGAAATGAGATGGGAAAACTCAGGTGTTTTTTGATGACTCAAATTTTCTCTGTGGTGAATGAAGTGGTGATGCCTATTTATCACACAGGCCAGAAGGTGGTGGTGTTCTCAAACAAATTTGATTTCCAGTAGTTTTTCAAACACAGATGGTATGTAAATATAGTAAGGCTGCTTATAAGAAGCAATTTGTACTGACTGTCCCAAACTAAAAATAACCTCCCAAGAATGTGGCTGTATTCCATCTCATTCTTTACCAGTATACATTTGATACTGATTTTTGAAAAAACATTCTATTATTAGAAAACATTTCCTTCTGACTGTTCTTACCGTGATTCCTTTCATTTAATGCTGCTGGACTTATTTAATGAAATATTTATCGTTGAATATAGCAGTTAATGTCCTCTTGTCCCTAGCCCATTGAGTACAGAGGAACTTGCAGGTAATAAATAATGAAAGTAACAAACACCTCTCTGAATGGGCTGCTCTATGTGCTCTGCTTCTCACACCATGTCAAACAAGTGCTATTGATTGCCTAACTTATTACTTATCCAGGCCCCACATTAAGAAGTTTTTTGCTTCTGTTATTTTTTCACTAGAAGTCTCGCTGTGTTCAAAAATGACATAGGTTTCCTGTGTGTAAGTACTAACAAAACTAGTGTCAGTCAAAGCTGTGGACTTTACTCCTTATTTTGGCATGATCAATCTGGCTGTTGTTCCTTTCCAAAGAATACTGCCTCAGCTTTAAACAACAGCAGGATCAATGGCTCTTGAGAACCAAACTGATGCATATGCTGCAGGAGAAACTCCTGAAATTTCCTTAAAACTTTAGTACTGGATTCAGTGAGAATGCATTAAATATTTAAGGAAGTTTAGGCATTTGCTCTATTTAGTGCTTGTTCTGCTAGTATTACTTTTTTTCCCTTTTTTTCAGCATTGGATACAGAACCAATGATGGTTTTTCTTGTCAGATCAATCTGTCAGACACCATTCCTATAGTGAAAGTCAGTGAAATGAATGTCTGAAATCAGCTAAACCCAGATTTTGTCTATTCAAACAGTAAGTGCTCAGAAGTTCTTTTAACTTGACTTCCACTTGAAGCCTACTGGAACTGCTAAGCACTTCTGGAAGTAGATCACTTCTTTATTTGCCCATTCATAGGTAAGGCCATCCATTTTAGAAAATTCTGAGCTGAATCTCCGTTTCAGCTGTTGTGCAGATAAAATGATGGCTCACAATTCTGTAGCAAAATCATAAGGATCAAGAAGTTCGTGACCACTGATACCTTGAGGGACAAGCTTGCTTAAATGTTAAGTCTGTGAATAGTTACGTAGAAGCAGTGCCTAGAATTGCAGAATCAGCTTTTGACCCAACAGGTCTCAGTTGCAGTTTTACTGCCTAAAATGTTCAGCTCTTGTTGGTGCTGCTGTTCATGAGATTTTTGTGAGAATGTAAGGAGAAGACATGCATTTTAATTAGCATGAGGAGAAGTACAGCTGCTCTTTCATCCTATTTTTAATTCAGATAATTTTCATTAACTAAAACGTAGAGGAAAAGGCAGAAGCACCATATTGCTTTTTGATGTGGTTTTTTTTTCTACATAAGTGTTGCTGGCAATGACAGATGCAAGAGATTTAACATGGATCCAGTCTTGGAGGTTATTCCAATAAGCGAGTGCTGCGCTTTTGCCCGTATATTGCTGCATGGAGGTGATTAGCCCTTGCATGTTCTTTGGTTGGCTGCTCTAAGGGCTTGTTTACACGTTTCCCATACTCTGAAGATGACAACACAGGAACAGGTCTTGCCATTTCCTGTGAAAATATAAAAGTCATCTTATAAGAAAATAACTGAATAGAAAACTTGGCAGTTTTCTAATGCTAAATATACTGTGGCCAGGGTCAAAATAACTGACAAAACTGTACAGCACTTGCTATACGGATGTATATTTATTTAGCAGTGATCTACACCCCTACTGTTCCATCCCTGCCCTAGTTTTTTATGTATATGAGTAAACCATTAGTGTATCACTAGATGACATGATGATAAGATATGGAACTGTGGACTGATAACTTTTTACACACATACGTACACACGCAATTACCATGTGATTACTGGCAAATTAAATGCTATGGTACTGAAAAGCACAGATTTTATTTTTATTATTTTTCTTGTGCACTGACTTGCATGATTCATTTGAAAAATGGGAGACATTTGTGTCCCGTGTTACAGCAACACCTACCCTGCTTACACAATTCAGTGAAAGCACAGCATAAAAAAAAATCAAAGCCTAAAGAAAAACCCTGAGCAACCACTACTCCATGCAAGCTTTCCCTGAAGGAAATAAAGCATATACTACTTTAATTCTGCACAATGAAAGGTTTTACTAAAAATGCTTGTATCTGTAAGATTACAGAAATAACTGTAATGATAGGAAGTAGACTTGTTGACAAATAACCTAGGAAAAGATAATTTTAAGCTTGTTCTTAGCTGCACTTTAAGTGACTGTGCAATCACTATCTAAAATCTGCAGTTCCTTCCTGTGCTACAGCAATGGGGAGCTATGGAGTCAGAAGGGAAAGACAGGATTTGTTTGTTTTTCCCTAGCCAAAGGTCTCAGGCTTATCAGGCTGCTTGTATGTTTGTGCACTGGCTAATACAGTAAGCCTTGGTCCCCGATGTGTTTATCTAGTCTTATAAATAGTATCTAAAAGGAAAATCAAAATGCAGATGCCACACGACAGTTCAAGTGCAAACAAATTACTTCTTTGCTACAACAGACACAAGTCTGAGCCAAATCAGAACTTGGGTCCTGTGAGGATGCATGTGGGACCACATATTGGAGGGGTATGATAGCAGGGCAGTCAGCTGAGAGGCATTTCCGACATTTCCAGACTCATGAACAAAACTTGAGATTCTTGGGAAGATGCTCTTAACTCTAATTTTTTTTGTTTTAAATCCCGAAGAAACCTCAAGAGAAAAGCCTATTACAAAACGACCATTCATCCCCCAGTCCTCCTACCCACCTTACTCTATCCTATTAAAAGCTATTCAGTACACTCCATGAGAATGAAAATCAAGTCAAAAAGAGTAGCGGGCAAAATTAAGACCATTTTCTCCCCTGCCCTATTTGTGGATAAATGTTGAAAAATGAGAAATGACAAAGTCTTTGTACCATCGAGAAAGACTTTGCTAGCAATACAGGGTTTACAACGCTAATCATAGGCAGCAGTATGTAATTTCAATAGTTTGTGTTCCTTTTAAACAAATAAGAATCAATTTTCTGCATCCTCAGTAGCACAGCACTGACTGTGCACACTGGCATTTTATCTTTGTGGGTTTGGCATTCAGCGGATTTCAGATTTTCCAACAGTTGGCTGGGAAGCGTCCTGCTACACGCCTTCGCAGCGTGTAATTCTAGCACTGCTAACACTTGAAATCAGCAATGGCAGCCTTGTGCAAACACGCTGCTGCAGTTACTGTGCTGCATGTAGCTAAACTGAGTATCTGTGACTGTGCTCTTGAATTCCCTGTGTGCACCCAGGCTCTGCAGGAAATGAGGGGCTTACTTGCAGCATTTTTTATTTTTTTTTCCACTTCAAGTAAAGCAGTGTACTGTGGTGGATTCAGGCTTTCTGCTTTCAGTGTTGTACTAGAAAGATGTTGATTGTGGTATTTTTATTTATTATATTTTATAATATAGTTATATAAAGTCTGTGAGGGCCACAATGGTAATTAAAGAGGAGTTGAGTACATGACCTGCACTTAAGTTATGGCTACATCCAGTGTTGGGTGTCATCACGTACAGCAGGATCATGTAGCATTAAACAGGTGTGGGTTTGATGTGTCTCCATGCTAATTAAAGAGTTGGATTAAGGGACACCTGTTGGGTGTTGGGGTTGGGCTTGGTAGTGAGGGAGGAAAGTTGTCTTTGTTTTGTTGAAATAAAAAACTTCATTTCTACTTGGAGTCGTCACTCACATGCCTTTTAGCCTCACACAGATTACAGTTGACAGATTGGCCTCACAGATTTACTAGGCATGAGCACATGATGGTAATGGGCACCCCTGGGATACCTTTGGGAGCATCTAATACTGCCTGCACTGTCTGATAGAGTGGAAGAGTATTACGGCTATGCACTTGTGCTGAAATATCTGGCATATATGGCTTCTAGTGAGACAAATCACAAGCAGTGGCCTTTGTTACAAAATAACAACAATTTTATTACACAGCAATTAGAGTAATTTTAACTTTTGTCTTTCTCTTCCTTCTTCCTTATCATATATAATCATCAAGGCAGCCAGCCATCCCTAGCCTACCCATCACTTTACATCCCATGAACCCATTGGGATTTTGAGGCCAATAGCACACAGAGGTTACATTTCATTTGGTTTTTTTTGGCAGCCTCTCCCTCTGTGTGTGGGTGAATTTGTGTGTGTGTGTGTGTGTATAAATAGATATATAAACACTTGTGTGTGTAGTTGTATTATTCAGACACTGCATGGAAAAATACATACATATATATTTATGTATATATATTATCGTATTTCTGTTTTCAAGGCAGCTGTGTAAAACTATGGCTGTATTTAGCCATTGGGCTGCACATCAAACCCAGATTCTGCTGGCCTTGAATACTTTGCCCATTCTTTTTGAGGCATGTCCATGGTGTTCTGATTGACCACTCCTTTGCACTAGCTCCCAATGAATTTCCTTCCTGCAGGGCAATCTGGTGTAAGTTTCCATAACAAACTCAACAGCTTCAGAAGCTTGGACTCTCACAGCAAATGCTGGTGTAGGGAGGGTGGGTGTCAGAGGACAGTAGTGAAATCAGGGCCTCTGAATCCAGTCTTCTCAGGGAGAAAAGTTTTCAAGCATCACAGGAATAGCTGCAGGAGCACCTGAACTACAACTCTCGAGAGGCACAGACATTCAGAATTCTCCCTAAACTCTGTAAGAGAAGGTTTGCCTCTTTCCCCGTGCTTTAACTTGCATATGTCTTGTCACCTGGAAATCTTCAGGATGCCAAAGAACAACAGCTAATTCAAGTGTCTTCATGGGCTAATGCTTTCTTCTAAACCTCCAGGCTGAGCACAATGACGTCCTCCTTCCACTTCCTTTCCTACCATATAGGGTGCACTATAAAGGGTAAAACAATGCCTGTAGTGCCTAGCCACTACAGAAAAATAAAAATCAACTTTAACAAAGATAATTATGAATTCATCAAAGGGTTACCTCCTCATTAATGTTGAGACCATGACCTTTTGCATGTTTTCTGTCACAGCGAGGAAGATGCTGGTTGTAACCTTCTGGTATTCTAAAAATGGTGTCATAGGTGAAAACATGTTCTGTCTTGAGAAAAGGGGAAAACGTGGCTAATTCACAGCATTACTTAACTTTACAGATTACAGAATATATGTAGTCAAATCAATACTTAAATGGTGCACATATTGTATTAGATTATGACAACTGTATTATTACTGAGCTTATTAGCAAGTTTGGGCCACTCCTTTGTAACAGTTTGCAAAATTGCCTAATGACACATGATACCTTTTTTTAAGTCTGGTCATCTGTGAAATTTCCCTTGTGGCAATTTACTTCAATTTCCACATCTCACCCCCCCTCTCCCCAGCCCCAGTCTGTTGTAACTTTTGGAAATTTAACTGCTTTATTTGCTTTCATTTTCTGAACTTAATATTCTTCTTCTTAAGTTTGTATATTTGTCAATTGAACTGGCACAATTATGTAAAAACAAAACAGGCAGTTTCCAAATTAATTTGGAATGAAAAGGACAAAGGTATCCTGCAGCATAATCATCGTTTAGTTTCTGATTAAAGCAGAACTGAGAACAGTTCTGAAACATGCCACAGTGGTAATTCTGTGATCCAGTGGTATGAAAATATAGCACACCCCAAGACAGAATATAATTGTATAACTGTTGATATAGGTGTATCCAAAGAAGCAACATTAAAGATCTGACCTGCTAACAAAGGCATTTGTGGAATCCAATCAACAAGTTGTCATGAATGGAATCAAAGGAATTTCAAAAACAAAAAGAGTTTTCAAGGAAAAAGCAAAAGCCCCTACTGAAATATGCTGTCATATGTTAATGAGCTTCATTAAAAGGTCCATATTCAGTTAAACATCAATCCATCACTGTCTTTGTGCATGGCTGACTAAAAAAATGATGCATTTTGTTGGGCTTTTTCCCCTCTCTAATATAGTGTATCCTATTTAACCTTTGAAAAATTCATGTATTTCGAGTCTTACAATTTACAGTGCAATCCTTCAAAAATAGTCAAGTTAGGGCAAGTCAAGAAGGCCATAATGGTTCCGTTAAAAGAAGACCATAGTTAAGAGCACTAGTAAGACACTGCTGTAATCACAGGCTTAATTTATAAAGATACCACCATTACTTGGTTCTGCCAAGAGGAGGGATTATTTGGTATTTAACCTATCTACCCCTTCATTTCCCAGAAACCACTAAGCCTCAGAGATTTTCAGTCACATTCAAGAGTATCCTGCACCTGATGTGTCACCTTCATGATTATTATTATTTCTTATTTCCTTACTTCTCCTTTACTCCCCATGCTACCAGTTTCATTCAGAATTTCAGTTAGCATCCAATTTGTGCCCACAACCAGGAGTGTTATTTGCTCTTTGGTTTTATTCATGTGGCATTATTTGTCCGTTATTTTTACTTGTGTCAGAGCAGAAAACTCATTCTTTCTGGAACTCACAGATAGGCAGCCAGCCTATTATGTGAAAAACTAGCTCTCTCCCAGATGATCTAAGATTTTCTGCCGGATGTGTAGAGGCAACAGTTCTGTTCTCAATACACTGATAACTTTCTGCTACTGTTTCTCTTTGTTATTAAATGATAACTTAGTTGGCCTGGCTGATGGTGGTGGTATTGAGCTGTTTCTTAAACCTTTCTGAGCAAGTGAGTCATGCAGAGCAGACAATAAATATGCACTCAGGGTGGGCATCCTCTGTGTAGTGCTACTAAAGGTAAGTGCTTTGCAAGCATTCAGTAATATTCCAGACACACATAAAATAAGTAATGGCCTTCTCCACAGCTCAGAAGAGGAAACATCAGGCAAACTGGCTACAGTAACATGTAAAACAATGGAGGGAGTAACTGTCAGCCAAGGGATTAAAAGGCAGGAATTTCTGGCTTATGGTCACATGATGAGCACATCATCTTCCTATTTTTTCTGCTTCAGTCTTTGATACATAGTTGGGTTTAGGTATTTAAGCTGAAAAAAGGAATGAAATTATTTTGCTGTATAAATAAAAAAAAATCAAATTATTTAATTCCTTAATCGTGCAGAAGAATGGGTTGAATCTGCTTGTTTCCTCCCCTGTGGCCGAGGCCTGGGCTGTGAAGAAACCTATTAAACAGCTGTTATCATGTTTAGTTTCCATGCTACTGGAGCAGCATTTTCCACAAATGAAATCATCGTGAGTGTGAAAGCAGACTATACCATAAGCAAAAGCTCTACTATGTGGTTGCTAATTCTGCTCAGACTGGGTAGACTGTGAGCTCCACCAGCCCCAAGTGCACCATGCCAGCCCTTTGACTTGCCCTAGCCTTAATCTTGTTGTGCTCTCCCTATCATGTTTTGTTAAGCACGGGACACCAACTGTGCTCGCTCACCTTTGGCTCACAGCACCATCCCAAGGTGATGCTGGAATCAACACGAAAGAGTCTGACATTACAACTCTACTTGTAGAGTAGAGTTTAGCAGGGCCACCTGGTCAATGCAGGAAATTTGCTGTTCATCTTAAGAATAGAATAGAATAGAATAGAATAGAATAGAATAGAATCAACCAGGTTGGAAAAGACCTCCTAGATCATCAAGTGCAACCTTTGATCCAACACTGCTCTGGTTACTAGACCATGGCCCTAAGTGCCACATCCAGTCTCATCTTAAAAACCTCCAGGGACAGTGAATCCACCACCTCCCTGGGCAGCCCATTCCAATGTCTGATTACTCCTTCCATAAAAAATTTCTTCCTAATATCCAACTTAACTTCCCCTGGCAGAGCTGAAAATCGTGACCTCTTGTCCTAATTCCTTTAATGCCCAGCACTGTGCTTTGGTTTGCACCCTGCCCACATCCCAGGGACACACAAGATATAAACTCACAAATCACCAGTCAGCACTGTCCAGTGCTTGGCACATTCAGCAGCCTGTCACTTGAGCAGGAATGGGATAAATATATGGGGTGTATTTATTGTTATAAATAACTATACGTTGCCATAATATCGCTATATTATATTGATATAATAGACATTTCAGAAATTTTTAAGGGTAATTTTTTTGAGGAAAAGGGTGTTAAATTCAATGTCTCATGACACTTCGGAGAGAGAAAAGTTTGCCATCCAGGAAGTATTGCTCAGCTGAGGCTGAAGGTGTAAGATTTTTTTCATTTCTGATGTTAAACATGAGGACAGAGAATGAGGAACAAGGGTGATACAATGCAGCAGAGAGTGAGGAGTGAGCCTCCTTGACTTGTACGTGTTAAGTGTCAGTGTAACACCTTCAGAAGCATTCAGTTTTTGAGGCATAAAATGATGTTATTGTTTTGAGTAGCTCTATTGATTTTCATTATTAAAGCTCAGCATATGGGAAAATTGTGCAATGCACATTGAAAACTTTTTGCCTCGTCTGGAAATGGAGAAGTTTCTTGTTAAAGAATCCCCAAAAGTGTGTGTTACCAGAAAAACCACAGGTGCTGCAATCCAACCCCAGTGACAGACGAGGTTGGATTGCACATGTGGATTGCCTCACATTTCATTGATACCACATGACCTGTCAGTCCTCAATCCTTGACAAACCATGTCTCTGCCTTCTCTTGTCCAGTAAAAGACTTTACCCTCGTTGGCCATCCCCAAGTAGCAAACATATTTTGCAAAGGCCTCTGAAGATGAAACCTGCTATTTTGGCATTAGGCTAGCTCAAGATTAATGTTCAGCATTTCTGTATTAGGAAGACGTTTTTCACTGTGAGGGTGGTGAAGCACTGGCACGAGTGGTCTAGAGGAGTGGTGGATGCCCCATCCCTGGAAGTGTTCAAGGCCAAGTTAGACGAGCTCTGAGCAACCTGGTCCAGTGGAATATGTCTCTGCCCATGGCAAGGGTGTTGGAACTAGGTGATTTTTAAAGTCCCTTCTAACCCAAACTATTCTATGATGATTTTAGGCACCTGCCTGACCAGGTCCCTCATGATGAGGGCCGAGCCCTTGCAGAGGGACGGAGAATAACGTCTCTATGCTGCGCAGAGACCCACGGGGAAGGCTTGTCACTCTGGCCCCGAGAGGCTCCCCGGCTGTCCCCGCCTCGCTCTCTTCCCCCCCTCACCTTGGCCGCTCGGTTGAAATAGCTGAGCTCCGGAGGCCCTTCCCGTCTGGGCGGGATGAAGCTGAAGGCGGAGAAAGCAGCGAGGGCAGGCCGCCTCCTTGCCGCCGCGATGCCGAGAGCCTCCTCTGCCCACCGCGACCCTCCCGCGCCCGGCGGCCACGGGCCGGGGCCGGCCATGCTGCGGGGCGGCCGCCGTCGCCCGGCAACGCTCCGCCGGGCACCGGGCCCGGCCCCGGCCTGCAGCCTGGGCGGCCTGGCAGGAACAGACCCTCGGTCGCGGCTGGGCTCCGGTGCTCGGGGACCTTGGGCGTTCCACAGAGCGGTGTTAAGGCTGAAATGTGGATTCCCGGACACTCGGCCGTGGGGGTTTGGTCCCGGTTTTGAGCAGCGGCTCCAGCATCACGCACTCTCAGGCTAGCTCCCTAGTCCCTTGTGTCCTTGGAAGCTGGGGTGGGTGCTTAGAGCAAAGCTTGGCTGAAAGGTACTAGCTTTTTTGCTGAATAAAACATTTTGTTCAATAAAAACACACTGCAGCATGGAATTTCCACCAGAATGAGGATCCCGAGTCTTGAGGACCTTGGTTTCTTTGCCCAGCAGCTCCTCACCCACTCGGGCACAGGTTTTAACGGGATGCTCAGCCATTTCAGGCAATGCGGTTGGAAAACTCACACACTTGTGCTGGGAGCACTGAAAGTAAGCATCTCCTGTGTGTGTATCTCAGACTGACTGTAAAACTGCTCTGCCCTAATAGCACCTGGGTTCACCCCACAGATATCTCAGTTTATTACATACATGTAACTATGCCTCTGCTGCTTCTTACCGTGCCTCTTAGGGATCTGTGAGGGTCTTGGTTTGGTTTATCTTTGTTTTCTGCAACCACAGTTGTAGAACTATTGTGCTATAGGTACAGCATTACAATTGTTATTGCTACCAGTATCTTTTGGTTAGGACTTTCACAACAGCATTCTTCCAGGCACCTGGAATTTTACTGAACATCCCAAATTTATTTTAAAACCTCCAACATTCAGAGTACCAGAAATCTTCACAGCTGATTGTTTCAGGCATTTTGGAGCCAGGCCTACAGAAGTCTTGTTTTTACTATGTTGCTGCTACTCTCCCATCACTAATCCACTGACTAACACAGACTACTCCTTCTTTGCAAGTGCAGAGTGGAGGCATTTACAATCTGCAGACTTCTATGGGGTTTCTTTAAAACATTTGTGACAATTTCCATCTGCTTATCTAATAATGTCCCTCTACCAATTAATATCCTCTTCTCTCTGTAGCACGAGCCAAATTAGAGCAGCGTAAGCGAGCAGTGGAATTGAAAATCCAATAGCTGCCTTACATCAGCTTCCTACGCAGAGACCTCTTGCCACTGTGCAAGTACTTTTTTTGTAATTTAGTCCGAGCACAAAGAGATAGCAATCCCACTTTATAAAAAGCAGCTCAGCCGAAACTGCAGCTATAAATAGAGTCACAAGAAACTGTTCACCGGAGATATAAACTAAGCTAGGCAAGAGCTCTGAAGTCAGACCTGAAAGGTTTCTCTCCCGTTTTCTTCCTACTGTTCTCATGTACCTCATTTTGATTAATGTTAAATTGATGGTATTAAATTGAATTACAGCATCTGGATGCAATACAGATTGTTAAAAATATTGCTGGATGCTTGTTATAGATTTGCCATACTCCCCCCTCCATCCGAAATAATTTAAAACTATGGTTTTCACTATTTTTTTCCTTCATAATGAAGGTATAAATCCTTTTAGAATCATTTGAAACTTTAAAAAAGCTTTTTCTGGTTGATTTTAGCAGACTCCCCATAAGCAGGATATGAATGTCCGGGGGGGTTTGTTCCAATTGCAACCAGACTTTACTAATATCCTACTGTTAAGTGCATGTTCCTGTTATAGAGTAGCATGGAAGGTCGGTCTGTTTCCTTAGTAACTTAAATATGAACATGTAAACAATGAAGCAATTTTAGTCTGTATGGTGAAAATTATGCATTCAAATGCAGCTGAGCTAGGAAACCAAAGAGTTAAAAATTGCTTTGAATTTGGTGGCTTAAGGCTGAGAAGTTCAATTGCCTGCCTTTTTAGAGTAATACCCCTTCGCTTTCCACTGCTACGGTTCCTGAGTTTTGAACATGTTGGTATGTATTTTTATAGCAATTTTTCACACCTAAGTGTGTCAAAAGCAGGGTCACTGTTCTAAAATGTCAGACTGGCTTATGGAATAACTTTGAAAAAAAGAATTCTTAAAATGAATAGGTGAAGAAAATAGTAATGGAGGCAGGTAGAGGGTACACAACAGAGACAATGACAATGGGGGAAGGGAGACAGGATTGACACAAGAGGACAGATGACATATAACTGGACAGGTCATCGATACACAGAAAAAACACAAATAGCTGTTTTCTTACTACAAGCTGAGGTACCTGTTTCAAGCTTATGTTACTTAGAGCTGAGAGCCTGCTGTCAAATTAAGGTTTAGCAATCCATCTCCTGTCCTAGCTGTTTGACCTCAACATGTATCAGATTGCCATGTGGTCCTGACCTTCAGCTGAGCCACAAAGGAGAGACAATCTTTGCAAAAAATGTTCCATTTGATGGCCCTTGAAAAAGGCTGAAACAAAAACGGCTCAAAAACTCTCCCATTTCCATTCCCATAGCTTTGGGCCAAGCCAGTTGTTTCACAGAAGTGCTTATTTCTTCTAGATTCTAATTATTGACTGACTGCTCATCTCAAACAGGAAGGCTCTTCAGAAATGTGGGGTCCCTCCCACAGGAGACAGTCCTCCATGAACTTCTCCAATATGGATTCTTCCCTCGGTCTGCAGTTCTTCATGAACTGCTCCAGCATGGGTCCCTTCCACGAAATGCAGTCCATCAGAAACAAGCTGCTCTACCACAGGTCACTCGCAGGGTCACAAGTCCTGTCAGCAAACCTGCTCCAGCATGGGCTTCTCTCTCCTTGGGCTCACTGTTTCTGTCAGGAGCCTGCTCTAGCGCAGGCTTCCCACAGAGTCACAGCCTCCTTTGGGCATTCACTTGCTTCAGCATGAGGTTGTCCATGGGCTGCACGTGTATCTCTGCTCCACCATGGACCTCCATGGTCTGCAGGGTTACAACCTGCCTTACCATGGTCTGCACCATGGGTTGCAGGGGAATCTCTGCTCCAGTGCCTGTCCGCGGAGTTGTTTCCTCTCTACGGCTACTGTTGCAGTGTTTTTTTCCTCTTCCTAAATACTTTATCCCAGAGGTGCTACCACCATTGCTGATGGGCTTGGCTTTGGCCAGCCAGCTGGCATTGGTTCATTGTCAGACATGAGGGAAGCTTCTGGCAACTTCTTACAGAGGCCACCTCTGTAGCCCTGTCCCCCCTCCTTGCTACCAAAACCTTGCCACACAACCCAGTATAGCTACACAACTCAATATAGCTGACTGATATCTACTCCAATTCAGATGAATATTCTGTTCAATAACCCTCTTGGTAAGAAGAGTAATACACAGTTTTATATGAGGTGATGTTACTTTCATAACAATTTCTATTTGTAACACTGTTTTGGAATGCAAACATGAAAAAAATCTAGTCCAGGAATGTCAACCTTTCAAAATACTCCACTTGCACTTTTTCTTGTCAAAACTGAGATTTTCATGAAGAGCATCTCAGTGTCTACAAATAGATTTGAAAAATGCTGCACAAAAAGATTTTCAAACAACTCTTGGTAGAATCTTTGTTTTAAACAGGGCATCCTACAACATAAAGGAGTTCATATCGTCACAATTATAAACATGAATAAAATGCCCTTATGTTGCATTTTGACATATCAAAAGCTACACTGACCTTAATAATTCCTGCCCCTAAATTTGAAAATGCTTAAAATTAATATGTAGCAAACTTTAGGGTGAACCAGTTACAGACAATTTATATACCACTTTTGACAAATCCATCCAAACCTGAATTACTTCAAAGAACAAAAAATACTCTTTTAATTACATGTTTTATTTAAGGCACATATATGTGACATTTGTTTCCTTCTCAGAGTCACTTCACTGTTTTAGACAAGAAATGAAGAATAAAACTAAAAAGCCCTAGGCTTAAAATTGTTTGGGGCCCACCTGTAAAAAGTGTTGAAGGAAGGAGAATCTGCTATCTGAAAATGAAAAATTAAAGTATGTTCATACCTAACCAAAACCAAAAGGAAAACTACATATCAAAGTACAAGATAATCATATCTTTTAACAGTAAATCTTCTGCTATTTAAAGCATCTTGACAACATAGCTTATTATTTGTCCTGATATGAAGTTCTGAAAACAAAACAGGACAGACTTGAAACAGCTCTACATTCACATATGCACAGCTGTAGCTTTAGAAACAGATTGAACTACCTCTGTCTCACCAGAAAAGGGAAAGTCTGTAGATATTTCACAAAATGGAGAAAACATAAAGGAATTTAAAAGAATGAAAAATGCTTTTCACATAACTTAAGTAAGATACTACTGTCTGTCTTTAGAAACAGCAGCTAAATAGCATTATTTTCAGGTAATCCCAAATACTTTCATATACTTTATATGAATACTTTAATAAAAATACCTGCAAGTCTAGTCTTTCTTCTTGTCCTTTGGTAGTCCTCCATAAACTGGAGCAAAGCACTGACATCAAAAAAGAATTTCAGCAAGCTTCCCAGGTGTTCCCATTTGAATTTCTTTTTTCCAGACCACAGTAAATCACTCTTACATTGATCTTTTGGCTGCTGCTTCACAGTGTGAAATGCATTTGCATTGTACTTTTGGAACTCACACTCTGTGGTTTCGCTAGCAACCTATGTCACCAACATGGAAGTTGTAGAACTTGATGAACCTTACTGTAATGTGGAATATATGGAATGTTAAATACTATTTGTATGATTATCATAAAGTTTTTCAAGTTACACACTGAAACATGAGTAGCATTATATCCAGTTACTGAGGCTGAAATTGCTGCAGGAGGAGGAAGAAAGAGGATACAAGAATTGTGGGTGAATCTAGAGCGGAAAAATAAAACATTATAAACAGTAGATGTAAAATGCATTGGAAGACAAAAGGTATGTATTAAATATAAATAGCTTCTCGGCACTAGAAAGATAATAATGACGCTCAGTAACTGAAGGCTAGAGGGAGGATGGTATGCACCTTTCTTTGGGCATCATACTGCATGTATGATGTATGTGTGTTGCCCCCTTTCTTGT